ATCGTGTCACGTTAGATTCTTCGCATCACGTCTCGTTTATTTATTGTTATTCCTGTTGTTTGATGTTATATCCATGTTTATAATAGATCATACCGTTTTGCATTGAAACATTGTAAAAAAGCTTTATGGTGATCACAGATTCAAATATATTTGACAGAGTGTGACCAGGAAGAAAGAAAAGCTTCAGTTTCAATTCAAAATTATCTTAAATCTCTTGTGTTTTTATTAATTATTTACTGATAAATCTTAAATCTTTTATATAAGCTCTGAAATTTTAATGTTTATTATTATTTTTTTAAAATTTAATACAGAAGGCTTAAAGTATGAGTGATGCTAGGATGTATTTAAGACAATACTAACAGACCATCAATGTATTATCATATTATAATATATTTATAGCGAATTGTTTTGATTTATTAAATAAATTCGCATGATATGTAATTTTAAATATTTCTAATGCTGTAAACATTATTTTAATATGCTTGAAATGTTTTAATGACAACACAGGAAGAATACGAGATAATTTTTCTTGTAGTTTAAAAATACTTTTATAATTGCAGTAATCGTGAGTCAAACAAACTTTATGTGCAATATCACAATTCGAATTACATTAATAATTACTTTCAACTTCGTGAATTTCTAGACTTATTAGTACAGTACTTTCTTTTGTTTTATTTCTCATAAGCTCAGAATTAATGAGGAGGAATAATTAAGCAATTACTTAGCATTACAACTTGTTTATGTTTTATGAGACTTTTATTTTATGTTGTAATTTATAAAATTTTACGCTATAATAAAAAATAAAATCAATTTATGCCTCCATTGTCTTGATAGAGAGTATACATGAAAAGCATCTTTTGAATACTGTACATCATAATTTAGATGGTAAAATATTCGTGAAATTAATTTCCTCACATTCATAGAGTTTGAATATTTTTCTTTCTCATAAGTTCCAGTTATATTGTCATTCTTGTTTTCTAATATGATTCATATTTCTAGTAACGACAATAATAAAAAGTTAAGTTTCATTTAGTTATAAGGAATGACTAATAACATTATGAAATTTTTCAAACAGAAAATATTCGAAATTATAATAATATATCGACATACAAATATTGATATTTTATTCCCTTTAATTGAAATTGTATTAGTCCTTCTACCTTAGTTTCTTCACATGACTAATTTATTCGCATGATTAATTTAATAAAAGAGAATCTAAAATGACCTGAATCTCTTCAAAACATAACTAAATTTTAAAATAGCAATAGTTGATATATTCATTTTTTTACCATAAATAGTTTATTTAGCTACGATATACAGATTTTACTGTATATAAAAAATTAATAAATATTTACAGATGATTCAAAAGTATGTTGCATAATTAGAAGGTTAAACATTAGAAATAAAAATCGTTAACGCATTTAATTAAAAATTGTTGAAGAACGCTTAAAAAATTTAGTTTTGTTGCTTATAGACAAAAATAGCATTGAAACAATGTATTTCTGGTCTTTGTAGCTAAAAACAAAGTACAATATACNACTATATACAAAAACAAATATTTCCTTATTTTTCTTTCTGTATTAATAAAATTTTTTAACTATAAAATGATCTATCTGCTAGAAAAGTATAACAGCAATATTATCTATATATTAAAAATTCTTCATTGATTCTATTGATCAGTGAGACGTTTTTAAACAAATTTATCTACTAAACATAATTATTTAATATTTAAAATAATTTCTATGAAATCAGATAATTAAGAGATGTTACTTGTAATTTAAGTTTCAAGACAAGGCTTTATTCTTAATACAACTTCCTCCTTTTTCTCCCTCTTACAAAAAAAGGTTTTTTTTTTTTGCTAAAGTACCAACGAGAAGGATAAAAAATGAGATTTATTCTCTTACTTTAGACTTGCAAAAGTAGTTAACGAATTAATAACACAACAATAAAATATTACAATAAATATTATCCATGCTTTATATAATTTACATCAAATTTAAATATGTAAAATATTAATTCACTTTTAAACGCTTAAACGATGAAATGTAATGAATGAGAAATTAAGTTCATTATCTGGAAATTAGTTTTTCTTCCAAGAACAGAGAAGTTAGGATTCATTTAGGATATGTTTCAGCTTATCGAAGCATTGAGTCATTTTCTTATTAGACGAGATAAAGATATCCTCTTTCTGTGTATTTATTAAGGATAAGTGTTTTATTTTAAAATAGTAGTACAGGCACTTTTAGAATTTTGAATAAAAACTATTACTTAAAATTAGAAATATTTGATATATAAAACTCTTTTCCTCCAATTCTTTATTATCACATTAAGAATATTATTCTAATTCTGAATGATTATTTCAAGTAGCATGATTTAAAATCATTTAATTTTTATTTGAATTTTAACCCCAAACAATTTAATTTTGGGATAAATTCGTGTTTATCTTTGTGCTCTCTCGTGTTGTCATAGTCAAATTTGATTTTCCCAGTTCCTTTTCAAATGTAAATGCATCAGTGGAATTTCTTTTAGGTCACCCAATTTTGAGTTTATAGATTAATTTCGAAATTCATAACTGTAAATGCCAAATCTTATTTTTTTTAAAACATATTTCTATTTTAAAATAGCATATTCTGAAGGACTTTGTTGGCAAAGCTGACTCATCTGATGATAACATTCCTTCCTGCATAACATAATATATAACATTTGATTTGATAAATTCTAATTGAATTTCTAACCATATTTTTATTGTATTAAATTTAAATTATTTATTTTCCATAAATTATTATTTAATAACAGCTTCACTGTTATTAAAAGTTTTGGCGTTTTTAATTATTAATTATATTGTCTTTAGTTGTTCCATTTAAATAATTTTATATTAATGTTTATATTAAATTTTTATATTAAGATTTTAACAGATGATAGCTTAATTGGAGGCAAAATATTTCATTTACATTAAATTGATATTTATCAAAGAATTTCAAAATATATAATAATAAACTTTAAATAAATATTTCGAAATACTGTAAATGACAGTAAATTTAATCAATATATATTTTTTTTAATTCAAAACATTATAAACCAATTTAATGATTATTTCCTTCCTTATACATATTTTATCGACAGACTTCCGCAAAACTTATCGATACGTCCCTTTTTTTTTCTTCCTGATGCGTAGGCCTTATAGGCTATTTTAATATATTAAAGCTAGTGGGTAGGTTAATTAAAGTACAATCTAAGAGAATTTCCATTTACATTTATACATTACAATTAGATTATATTAGATATGACATAACATTAATTCTCTAATTTAACTAACTTTATCGAGTTACTATCCCATATGTAAGAGTAGTTAATTTGACCTTCATTAATATCTATATTATCTGATATTATTTCGATTATATTAATTCTACAGACAGTAATATTAGTTACAAAAATAAGGAAGGACGTACAGTACAGCAGTATTATTCCACTCCATTTATTAATATAAACCCTTGGCGGGGAGTAAATTTGGATTATAAATGTTACATAATACATAATTCTCATAGAATTCCATGCAAATATTCAGAACTCGTATATGATTTGATGCTATAAAAAGGTTTTTTTTATTATTCATAAAGCTAATTTTTTTTTCACTTTTCTTCCACTTGTAGATTATAAATTGTAAAATTTAACAGCTGTTTTCTATCTTTAAAAAGACATTGTCCAAATAATAGTATTGTTTTGGTTGCTGCTGAACCGGATGTCCACGTCTTGTTCATCTCAGTTTACAAAAAATGCTAATTTCTATAGACTTCCTTATAAAGAAAGAGCATTACAATAATCTACATTATATATATATATATATTTTTTAAATCAGATTTTTCTATTATTTAATTCATCTGATTAAAATCAAATATTTGAGCGTAATTAATTAAATATTGAATGCTAAATATTCACTACAAGATAAGTTTATTGGAATTCTGTAAATAAAAATAAAGGCATTTTTAACACAAACTTCCTTTCATTCCATTAACGGTAACAAGTTCAAGAGTTTTATTTGATTAGTCCCCAAACACTTTCATTCCTCGATGATTTAGCAATAGTTAAATATTAAATATTTTCTACTTTAGAATTAACCAATTTATATTAAATTCTACGCATTTTTAAATATGTATATATTTTTTTTTAATCAAAGATTTATCTTTTATAAATTTTTAAAAAATTGAAAGTACAGTGGCACGTTATAGTTCCACGTGGCCCAGGCAAATTTGAATTAGGTGGGCATTTTTCTTCGGGAAAAAATTTTCTTATAAAAGATTGATTCGGGGTTCCCAGTTGGCGGAGGCCCCGGGCAATTGCCCTTTTTGCCCGTAGGATAACGCCCTAAAAGTATGTAAACAAAATTGAAGCCGTGATTGTAAATTGGCTTGTACACCGACGAATACAGTTACGTGCCAAGTATTGTTTACAAAAGAAACTTTCATTCATAAAAACAAAACCCATTTTACAATGTTTCGGTTTGTTTCATCTTTATTATTCTCATTACTGAATATGTATGGCGACCCTTAAACTTATTCACCTAACAGAAAGGATCAACTTGCCGTTAAACAGTAACAGTTAGACCTCAATTAAGTCGCTTATATATCGTGTTTCTGACACGTGATCGCAGTTTATTTACATTTAATGAACTTAAAGATCTTTTAGTGTCAGAAACCTCAAACAATAAATAAAAAAGTAACAGTAAAAATGGTAAAATATTTTCAGTTTCGAAACGTACGGTGTAAAAATGTAAGCTACGGCATTACGTTCGAGATTATTTCTACAGCTGTCCTTCCTTCCTTCCGCTCCTTTCAGTCTACCGCGAAAAACGCCATTGCTTGTTTTTAGGTCCTTACATCACACGATGTCGTCGGTAAGAAGTTACTTTACATTGTTAAACATGTGCGAAAGTCTTTTAAGTAATGTCGTTTTCAAGTTATCATCTGTTTCGTTGTAATTGATTATTAACGTGCTGCACGGAGAACACGTGATTGCCAAGATCGAGTTACTGTTTTTCTTAGAACTTCCGAAAAAATATTAAGAAAAATGGACAAATTATGGATCTTATTATCGAAAATATTAATTATTCTTATTGTGTATCTACGTCCTATTTTATCACAAGGTAAGACAGTGAATAATTTTTTATTAGAATGAATGATTCAACTTGTTTCCTTTGTCGTCATCTCTTGAGATGGTCGGAGAAACAATGTCTTAATGACTTTATTCTTTAAGTAATTTTCTATCGTTTATATATATACATATACAATAGAAGAATGTTATTTAAGGAAATGTTAATGTTATTATTTAATAAAAAGTAAATAGCAAATAATATATAAACTTTTTTAATATATATATAATTTTTAAATTGCGCCATAAGGAGTTTAGAATATTGTCGATTTCATTTTTTTAAATATATTACTCAATATTTACGCTATATTTTTATTGATTTCATAACCTAAATATACTTATGAATAAATTAAGAAATTAGTTCATTAAATTTGTTATAACTTAAATACATTTTCATCAAAGTCTACTTTTATGTAATGAGTGATAAAATTATAAATATATAGATTTAAAAAATAATTTAATATTATATTTTAATTAAACTTTCTCTATTAAATCTCATTATAGTTTTATTTTGAATGTTGTGTAGATTATTTAAATTTGTTTTATTGGTTTAATTGTGTGTATGAATCATTTAGAAATATTTGAACATTGCTAGAAAACTTATTAAAAGTTTATAAATCTTATCATTAAGAAATATAAAAATAGTAAATAAAGCTAATATATATAAAAGAATTAAAAATGATATCCTGTTTTGTTTCTAGAAGTTATATTTTCAGGTTATTTTTGGATTTATATCTTTATATATTTAGTTAATTTATGTTTAATGAATATTATTCTTTAAATAATAATTAAATAATTGTCAGACATTTCATGTTAATTTAGAAATTAGTCAGTAACTTACAATTTGTTATATTTTTATCAATTATATCAAGTAATAACAATTAAACTTTATAAATGCAGATTTACTTAACTGAATATTAATTAATTCTGCATTTATGTGATTTAATTATAAGAAAATTTGAGACTAGTTTTAAATATTTCTTTTTTTACAAATAATTTAAAATTTATTTTCTTATTATAACCTTGAGTAAAAGTTGGAAAGGAAGTTCTTGTTGAATCCTAAGGATGTTGCCTATATTATCCTCTTCAAATTGGCCCTGAGGTAAAATAAACATGAGCAACATTAATTCAAAACTACTAAAAGGCATCTTACAAATTTTATTGATAGGTTTGAGTTATAAATCAAATCTCATACAATTTTTTTTTCTTATAATTCTTTAACTGGAATTCATTTAGAATTTTAAATGTATATTTTTAGAGTTTAAAGGCTTCATTTTGTTATTATTAATGATAGTTTTTAAAAGTTTAATAAATATTTAAAGAAAAACAGTTTTATTTCAATAATATTTTCATTTATAAATTCAACATTGCTGCTGGTGACTATTTACTTTAATGGTTTATGGTGCAGAAAACTATCTTTTCAATTACACTGCAATAAAACAATTCTCAGGAAATAAAACTGCTATTAAAATACAACTGCAATATTTTTTCCTTCCACTTACCTGTGTGAAAGTTAGATGTGTGTGATTTACATTGTGAATAATACTTATTGAAATAAGTACCTTAGGATATTAAAATTTTCAATATCTATTTGTTTGAATTATAACTTGTTCTGTTTTTCTAATAATTCAAATTTAATAATAACTTTATTTCTATACCTGTTTTTATTTTTAAATAGTGAGATTTCTGATTGAATAATTTTTTTTAAAAAATGTTACCTTTTTCCATTCATTGAGCAACGAGATGTGTTTGACTAGTTGTGATAACTGAAGCAAATGACAAATTACTATATTTAACATAGTTTTAATTGTTTTAAGGCAATTGTTTACTTGTCAAAACTAAAGCTGAATTCTTTATAATACTTTATCTTTGTTTAGTTACCTATTATATATATATAACTAAAGATATAAATCATTATTTTTTTCTTCTGGTAATATAAATATTTATATCCATATATTATTGATACTTTTGTGGCATGAAATGAAACATTAACACAGTTATCTGAAAATGAATATTTAAAAGCTTAAGTAATTCATGTGAATGATGTATTTCATCACAGTTTAGTTTGTTCAAAATTAATATTACTCAGTTATTAATACTCTTTAATACAGTCTTATTAAAACTGTGTTTTTAAAGGATTGTTTGATTAATATACATATTGATTCATTATTCTTGTGTACTTTTATACTTAACAATATTAAAAATATTACTGTGTTTATAATTAAATATTTTGTTAAAGACTAGTTAAGGAAACTTTTTAAATGTATATTCATTCAAACTATTTTCTAAGAACAAAACATTTTTAGAAATCTTGAGCACTTTCAGCTTATATCAATCATTAGGAGTTAATAAGAAAAAAGATGTGTGTTAAGGGAAGTAGTTTTTAATTGTATTTTGTTAAATTATGTGAATACTTCATTTCTCTGAAAAATTAGCCAAAATAATAGTCTATGTATACCTTTTTCTAGAATCAGTATTTCTAGAAAAATGTATACATAGACTATTATTTTTACTGCCTTCTCAGAAATTTATGAGTTTTTTTTTTGTGAATTCAACCTCAGCTGAACAACTGACATTCACTATATTCTCATGTTGGTTGCCCAGCTGTAGATTGACTAACAAAAGAAAAGAAGCTGGAAAGAAAAGAAAAAACTAATTGCAATAATTAATTAGATGATTTCAAATGCAAACATAAGTTAAATAAATATGAAAAATAAAATAATCTAAAATAAATGGTCTTAAAACTATATATTATATAGTTACATATTACAGCATTAGTTTTTAAGTATGTTGATTATAAAACTCATCAGGGTATAAAAGTTTTATTAATTATTGTACTGTCACATATATGATGATACACAAAAACAAAAAAAAACTATTTGTTAAATATACAACTGTGTAAAAATCCAATATTTTTAAATTTAAATACATCCCATGTAAGCAAATTTAATCAGAACGTTTAAAGAATAACAGATTCTTTAAATGTTTCGATGAATCTTGAGTGTAACAAGCAAAAGTATTCAATTAAAAGTTTTTTCTTTTAAACATTAGTTTTTGAATATTTTTTAAAATTTTAAATAAAAATTTTAAATTTTTATTTAAAATTACTTGTGTAACAGAATTATTCAAAGTTATGCTTTAGGAACAGATCTCTTTTGATAGTGAAATTTAAATTCTATGAAAATGTTAGCAATGAAATTTTTACTTTTATTAATTAATGTGGTGTATTTTAAAAGTTCAATATTATTTTGATGATAAATATTAATATGCATTTAATAAAAATACTAGCATAAAAATTTAATGAAATCTGTGATAAATAATTCTAAACATGTGACTGAAAATGTTACTTCTTCAATATAAGCTTTAAATATTCAAAATTTTAAGTGTATTGGTTATTTTTGATTTGATTTTTTTGTTATTTTTTTCAGACAGCATCTAGTTATACTGTATATTAAATGCAGTATAGTATCAAGTACCTACAGGCCCAAATTGATAATATATTCAGTTATCAGTAGATATTATTTCTTGTATCATCTTATCTTTTATCTTTCTGAAAATTGTACAAATTTTTTATTTTTGCAAGTATTGATAACAACTATAGTACTCACTACACTTATTGAGTAACAATAACTCATTACTTTACTATCATATATTTAATAGACTAAAGTATTTACAAATGCTTATTAAGAAACATCAAAAGATTAATTTATGTCAAAAAACACAAAGCAAACAAAAAACAAACTGTTTTTATTATAATAGTATATAATAAGTTTTAGTTTAAAATATGGAAGTGAGAATATGTGTGTTTCAGATAAAATCATATGAAAATATAGTTATAGTATAATGATAATTTTCAGCAGTTATGTTAAATGTACTTTCAATGGTGTACATAATATTGAATAAAAATACTAAAACTAGAGCATAAACAACTTTAATAGAGTATTCAACAATAAACACATGATTAACAAATATTTTCAGCTGTAAGAAATTATCTTCAAGTCATGAACAGAATTCTAAATAAGAATATTAATGTTTTAGAATGAAAAACAAATTAAAAATAAAAGACTATTTTAAATTTTGTAATTATTCTTGTTACTGAAGTGCTGGAACATACAAAACATTTAAACTCAATAAAGATCAAAAGTATAAGAAGAGAATAAGTTATAATAATAATTTTTTAATTAATCTCTAGATACTCAAGATTGTGAACATGAACTCATGATCCAAGATTTCCACTCATTTTTGTCCACTCATTAAGAAATGAAAGAGCTTACTGATAGTTTTGTCTCAATGCATTGAATTATCATTAAATTTTTATGCTAGTATTTTTATTAAATGCATATTAATATTTATCATCAAAATAATATTGAACTTTTAAAATACACCACATTAATTAATAAAAGTAAAAATTTCATTGCTAACATTTTCATAAAATTTAAATTTCACTATCAAAAGAGATCTGTTCCTAAAGCATAACTTTGAATAATTCTGTTACACAAGTAATTTTAAATAAAAATTTNCTTTCATTTCTTAATGAGTGGACAAAAATGAGTGGAAATCTTGGATCATGAGTTCATGTTCACAATCTTGAGTATCTAGAGATTAATTAAAAAATTATTATTATAACTTATTCTCTTCTTATACTTTTGATCTTTATTGAGTTTAAATGTTTTGTATGTTCCAGCACTTCAGTAACAAGAATCATTACAAAATTTAAAATAGTCTTTTATTTTTAATTTGTTTTTCATTCTAAAACATTAATATTCTTATTTAGAATTCTGTTCATGACTTGAAGATAATTTCTTACAGCTGAAAATATTTGTTAATCATGTGTTTATTGTTGAATACTCTATTAAAGTTGTTTATGCTCTAGTTTTAGTATTTTTATTCAATATTATGTACACCATTGAAAGTACATTTAACATAACTGCTGAAAATTATCATTATACTATAACTATATTTTCATATGATTTTATCTGAAACACACATATTCTCACTTCCATATTTTAAACTAAAACTTATTATATACTATTATAATAAAAACAGTTTGTTTTTTGTTTGCTTTGTCTTTTTTGACATAAATTAATCTTTTGATGTTTCTTAATAAACACTTGTAAATACTTTAGTCTATTAAATATATGATAGTAATGAGTTATTGTTACTCAATAAGTGTAGTGAGTACTATAGTTGTTATCAATACTTGCAAAAATAAAAAATTTGTACAATTTTCAGAAAGATAAAAGATAAGATGATACAAAAAATAATATCTACTGATAACTGAATATATTATCAATTTGGGCCTGTAGGTACTTGATACTATACTGCATTTAATATACAGTATAACTAGATGCTGTCTGAAAAAAATAACAAAAAAATCAAATCAAAAATAACCAATACACTTAAAATTTTGAATATTTAAAGCTTATATTGAAGAAGTAACATTTTCAGTCACATGTTTAGAATTATTTATCACAGATTTCATTAAATTTTTATGCTAGTATTTTTATTAAATGCATATTAATATTTATCATCAAAATAATATTGAACTTTTAAAATACACCACATTAATTAATAAAAGTAAAAATTTCATTGCTAACATTTTCATAGAATTTAAATTTCACTATCAAAAGAGATCTGTTCCTAAAGCATAACTTTGAATAATTCTGTTACACAAGTAATTTTAAATAAAAATTTTTAAAAATATTCAAAAACTAATGTTTAAAAGAAAAAAACTTTTAATTGAATACTTTTGCTTGTTACACTCAAGTTTCATCAAATTTAACATAATTTTGTCCACTCATTAAGAAATGAAAGAGCTTAACTGATAGTTTTGTCTCAATGCATTGAATTATCATCATCAAATAAATTAATGATCCGAAACTTGTTAAACTTTAGATATATATTTTTCTAGACACTGTTTATAAATTTCTTCAGAAATATTAGACTTTATTTTGAATAAATTAAAATGCAACAACAGTGATATCTACTTTCAGAAGTCAGATTTATTGTTGGATAAATATTCTTTTGAATTATTTGTATTTTACTCTACCTTTTACTTGAATTGTAATCAGAACAATTGTAAACTTGTAAAGAATAAAACTTTTAAACTAATAATGAAGAATGATTTGTATATTTGTTAAAAATACATTAATTGTTCATTGTTATTAGTTTAAAAATGTGAATTCCTTAGATCTTTATAATCATTCTGATTGTGTTATTTACTCTGAAGATGGAATAGAATAACTTAGAAAAATATTTCATCCATTGCATAAATTTGCTTAACTTATAAAAGTAGAAGTGAATTTTGTTTCTTCTAAAGAAAAAAGCCAGGACAACCTGTGGATACCAATTTATTGATCAGCATATTCAAATTTCATTACATTTATTTCAACTTACATACTAGTCTACTAAGTTAAATTTGCTACTATTGACTAGATTTACTATTATTAAATTTGCAACTATTAATTAGTCTACTGAGTTAAATTTTGCAGTTAACATTACAGTTTAAAATCAATTGGATCAATTTGCAAGATCTTGTTGGCTGTATCAATACTGTATTTTGTATTCATTTTGTAAACATAGCTTAACCTTTGGTTATCTTGATACAGAAAAAGCAAGAATAAAATGGATAGTAGGGGTACCTGGTTAGGGTGAACAGTAAGTTGATAAATAGTGGCCACCATGTAACACAGATTATCTGTGTGGCTGAAAGAGTTCATACAACATTGTCAAATGTACAATGTTGTATGGAGTTGTGCTTGTGTTATGTTCAATATGATTTATGTAGAAACAAAGTTTTACAACAAACTTTCAGAAATGACTTTTAAAAAGTGATGATTCAATATAATAATTAAAAAGTGTTTTAAACACATTTTATAATAAACTCATCTTGATCATATTTTATTTCAAACTTTTACTGTAGTTATGATAAAATGAAATTACCATATTTAAAAATATCATAAGACATTATTTCAAAAATACAGTATATGCATGTGTCTGAAACTTTAAAACATTTTCAAAATCACAAAATTAAACTAAAAGACTTTTTCAAGACTTGATACACAAAAGACAAATTCAATATCTTTTTAATTAATAAAACTTATGATTTATTTTTTAAATCTATATTTATTCAGCATTATCATTTTTTAAAAAATTATGTATGAAATTATTGCTTCTGAATTTTTTAATATGAGTAATAAATTAACTGAATAACTTTTTTATCATAAACTTTTTTATCCATCTTTAATTAATTTAATTTCCTAGCATTTATTGTGTGTTTTTAAACAAGTGCTCTCAACCATTTTAAAGGATCATCATTAGATTCATTGAACATATAAAATTATAAAGATATATAATGCAATATTTATTGAACAAATTTAACAGAATACATTTAAAATGTATTGAAAATATTTCTGTAATCATTATTGTTTGCAAAATCATTTATTGGTTGAATGCTTAAACAGATGAAACACTTAAATGAAATGCTTAAACAGAAAGGAAAACTGATGTTTCTGTATTGCAGTGTATACAGTATATAGTGTACAATAGGTGTTTAATGAAACAGTATTTGTAATATAAATCTTTTCAAATAATTTAAAATAAAAAAATAAAAACTGGCTATAATATAGAAATATATATGATATTATTAAACATCTTTCAAATGATAAAAATAATGTAGAGAAATGATAAAATAATGATATAAAGATACTGATTAACATTAAAATTCAAGTTTAGATTTCAGATGAATGAGATAGATAAAAATTTTTAAAATTTGTATAATAAAAAGTTATGATTTAAAAATTCATATAATCTTGATATAATTGCTTTATATTAAATTTAGTAATTTTTAAAATTATTAATAATTTCTTTTGTATATAAATATTATCTTAGATAAATTTTTAGTAGAGTTTTTTACTAATTTAGTAATTTAGTAGAGTTTTAGTAGAATTTTTAGTAAAGTTTAATTAAATACTAAAACTGAACCATTGTTTTCTAATTTAATACTTAAAGATATTTAAATTTTATAAATTAGAAATGTTATGTAATCTGTATTTATTGACTAATTATGTTTTGCTTTAAAATTTCAGCCATATCAAAAGTAAATTTATTAAAATTACCAGAAGAGTTTATTGAAAGTGAAAAAGGACAGATTTTGTGTCTAGTGTTGAGTGACTTTCAAAAATTAGATTTTCATTGGCTTAAAGATGGCAAACAATATCCTCCTCCCAATTTGAAAAACATCAAACAAGTGGATGAACCCACTACATCACGATTGATAATTGATGTGTTAGATGCTAGTCATAGTGGACATTATACTTGTGTTGTTAAAAATGGTCAGCAAAGTGAAAGAGGTACAGCTGTTGTTAACGTTAAAGGTAAATTGCTTTCGATAAAAGTTTTAACAAATTTAATTAGAAATAAATCTATAACGATTAAATATTAAATTGTTTAACATAATTTAGTATGAAATTTCATACAGATTTTTTCTTCAGTTGATTCTTATAACTGTATCTGAATGCTTATTTAAATAATATACAATAAAAGTATTTCAAATGCAAAAAAAATTATTTTATAACACTGCTGTAAATTTGAAGATTTTTCACTCTAAATGTCTATCTAATTATTTTTTAAAATATTAATTTTTTAAATGTTAATTAATTTTATATAATTAAAATAAGTAAAAAGGTTAGCATTAAACTGTTTTCACTTGTATGTTCAAAACATTTTATATTGTATATTTTTGCAGAAGTATAAGATGTTTGTTTTAACTGTTTCTGAATTAACTGACTATTTTTGGTTGTTTGTTATTTTAACAGAAAAACACAGGTGGGTGGGATCATTTTAAATTTGAATGAAACACTTAAACACTTCAGATATAAATATGGTTTAATTGCTTAAAGTTTCTATCTAAAAAACATTCTTATTAAATTGTATAACAAATCTTGTATATATGCAAACCTCAAATAATTTTAGTTTCAATTAAATTTTTTTAAACAATTATATATCATTATAATATATGTATTTAATAATTACTTTAAATTCAAGAAATAGTTTGATAAATAAATTTATATTTTGCAAAGAATAATTAATGCTTATGTGGTCATTTGAAATTTAATTTGCTATTTATGATATAATCATATTATTAATATCAGTCCAGTTATTAATTCAACCAGTCCAGTAATTTACTAAAAATATATTAAATTATTGTCTATTAATTTATGTAATTGAGACAACTTTTATATTACAGATATATATCACTAAAAAAAAATAAGTTGTAAGCTAATGACAAGTTTATCAACTAGATAATTTTTGATAACCAGATTTCGAAAAGTGTGGGGGGAATGACCTAGAATAGATTTTAGTGGTCAAAACAATGCCTTATAACTCTTGCTAAATAAGTCAGTATATCAGGAATATCAGAATATTCCAATCAGTGTCATGTTATTACTATCAGATGTTACTGCATTAATGTAATATTCTAATTTATAACAGCCTGTGCAATGAAAACTATTTAAAAGTTAATTGAATTTCTATTAAATGAGATGGTTGTGTTGTCAAAGTTCTTCATATTTAGATATTTCTCTGCTCTTTTAGTGTCCACAGAGTAGAAAGAGTAAAAAATAATAATAAAAAGATTTTTTTAGAAAAGGTTTTTTAAGTTTATAGATTGTTACCACTCTGTTTTTATAATTCTATTTTGATATTAATAATCATTTCATATTACAAAATTCTGAACTAAATTAACTAATACAGGAAATTCTCATAATAAAATTCTCATAATTCTCAAGGGATGAAATAATCATGATTTCAAATTGTTGTTTCAAATTATCAAATTATATATTTCTGCACAATATGCCAAATGCCATATAACAGGTGTAATTTATTAAATTAAGCAAATGGAATATGGCTATGTATACAGAAAGTTATTTTTGTTAGCATTCTGTATATGTAGCCATATTCCATTTATATTAACATTATTAAATAACTGGAGATAAACAGCACATATCTGGTGAGAACCATACAGATTGTCATATTGGTTTTATCGAAAGTATAAAATGTAGTTTGAAAGCAGAAAATGTAGTCCAATTATTTTTAAAATAGTCTAAAAAGTAGTAAGTCACCCAATTGTAGTAACCTAGAGCTCTACAAATATCTCAATCTGCTATTCATATCCCAATCTTACAATCCCAAAACCTAGCTGTATACAGTAGACCCCTATAAAACGGGTTCATATAGTTCGGATTCCTATATGACAGTGAAAAAATTGCGACGTATTTTAGTGTGTTTATTCGTATAAACACACTAAAATACATATTTTGGAAATTTTGAGTCAATTCAGTCTAGAATCGATTAATTTTATGGAAGAAAATCTTTCAAACAGCCGTAGTCTGTAAACTGCATACATGCCTGGCTGTGATTGGCTTATGTATTTAAGGACTCATAGAAAATGGATTTCATAAAAACCGGAATGTATCTACCATGTTATAGGGGGGTCAACTGTACTTTATGAGATAAGAGAAAAAAGGGATAGTCCATGCATAAGGTGATACCCGAAAATGTGTTACTGTAAAAACAAAGCTATATTGACCACATTAAGAATGATAGACAAAGAAATACTAAAGTTTGGAGGTACTTGATCTAAATGAATGAGTTAACATACGTGTATCAGTTCAGGCAGAATTTTCACTGTGAATTTTAAAGTAGCTATATTTCAAGCTAACCGAATTCCTTAACATGTAAATCTCTATATCAATAGCACAGTTAGAAACTAATGGGATTTAGAACTATTCAAGTTCAAATTAACGAGGATTTCCTGTAATATGTTCTGTTTTTGCATTATCAGCTTCATACAAATACATTTTATTAGTGCAATATTGCAATCACATTTTTATACTTTTCCAGCAGACAGTTGTATGTTTTACAAAAATTCAAAACTTCCACAAAATTTAAATGAGCACCTAAAGCAGGCTTCTCAGAAAAGCCAAAAACATTTGTAATGCATACAACTGTTTGCTGGAAAAGTGAGCAAAGGGTGTTCATCACTATAGTCATAACTATACTGTGTTATTGAAAAGCCTGTAGAAACATTAATGAACAACATACAAAATGACTCATATGCATATAATAATTATTTTCTAGACATGTATTGAATGAATTTCTGCCCGCATACTAACATGCCAAATTATTATTGGACAATTTTGGATTATTGACTACCTCAGAGGGTGCTGGGTGACTGGACATTTCAGATTATTGGGTGTCAGATTAACAAACTTCTATTTTATATTAATTCATATGCATTTCTGTCCTTAATTTATAGTTTTTTATATAAAGGTCTATTATGATAGGTCATATTAATAGGACCTATTGTACTGGTGTTCAGTTTCCACAACTGAGTAAAACTTATTCAGAGAAAACAATCTTTATTGTTCACCTCTATTTCACCTGAACACACTTTGTGTTTTGGACCTTCAGGTCCCTCTTCAGCAGGTTTACAAAAGCACAGTGTTAAAAACAAAATTTATAAAAATTTACAACAATACAATATATTAAGAGTACCTGACAATAATATATAGATTTTAGCATGACTTACAATTTCTCTTTTGTTAATTAGTTCAATATATAAATAAATACACAGAAGAATTCCTATCATAATACCACAATACTTGTATAAGGTTAAAACATGTATTTGTAAAATTATAATGTTTAAAAGGTTTAAAAATATTTTTTATAAAGTGTGTACAGGTGAAATACCAGGTGAACAATAAAGATTGATTGTTTTCTCTGAATAAGTTTCCTCAATTGCAGAAACTGAACACCAGTACAATAGGTCCTATTAATATGATCTGTCATAATAGACATTTATATAATAAATTCTATTTTATATGTTTGTTGTTATTTTACATATTAATATAAACTCTTAATGTATTCAATTTAGTGTCTCCAAGATGGAAAATAGAACCAAAAGATACATCAGTACAAGAAGATGGAAAGGCAATATTAGATTGTAGTGCTGATGGTTATCCAGAACCTATAATAAAATGGAAGAAGATGGGAGGTAATATATAATATTAATTAAAAGGAGTGCTTTACTATAATTTTAAATAACAATTTTTTATGAGAATAAAGAGAGTACTTCTTTTAGGACACCAAACCAAAAATTTTTGTTAAATATTTTTGTTCTTACATCAGAACAACTTTAGCTAACATTTGAATAAGAATGTAGTCTGTTTTCTTGAAATACAGTAGAGCATCATTTATCCGAATCTATTGGGGACTGGGGTTGTTCGGATAACTTATTTTTCGGATAACCGATTATGCACGAAAAAATATATTAATTTTCGTCGATGTTAAGCCTAATGTAAACTTTTTAAAATAATATTGGTGGCTATTGTATCGTTAAAAACTATTTCTTTATTTTTTACAAACAAAATATATATATTGAAAAATATAAAAATAAAAAAAAAATTTTACTTTAGAAGTTAATCTAGTATCAAAAATGCTCAATTCAGCATGATACACAGTCCTCAGAAAAACACCACACAAAAGTGCCAGTGCTGCCAGCTAAAACACACACATCAACAAAAAAATATTGGAGTAGCCCAAGATATAGCCAAAGATTGCAGCGCCATAGCACTAGCAAAAATTTAAATTTGCCAACTAAAATTCTTTCGGATAACTGACGTTTCAGATAATCAACTTTCAGATAAACGACGCTCTACTGTAATCATTCTCTCTGTTCTCATTTTCATGGTGTCAAATTCTCAACTTAGTTTCAAAAAATTTTTAATTATTTAAATTAAATATTAGTTAGCTATTTTATACTATAACATTAAATAACTGTTTCTAGATAAATTTAATTATTTTATTTTCAGTAACAATGATTAGAATAAACAACAAATAAAAGCACTATGAGAATCATAATATCTCAAAAAAATGTATGTTGAGATCATCATGCAATACATTCATTTATTATCATAATTTATACATGTACTATAAATAACAAATGTAGTGAAATAGAAAACAAATTAATTACAAAATACATTTACAAAAGTAGTATCAAGTAGTTATTGAAATGTGTAGAAAACATTACTGATAAAAACATTACATATATCTGTTTGTTTGATTTTTAATATCATTCTCTTCCATTACATTTAAGCTAACATTGGATTCACATATCTTATATAGTGTATTCTATTTACATATATCAATTGTAGCTTTATTTCATTTTTTACTTCTGATATTATCATTATGATTACCATTATAAACGTTATATCATGAATTAGTAGTATATTAAATTTATAAAATAAGTTTAAAACCAAAATGAATATTGATGAATTTGCTAAAAGTAGTAAGTAGTTCACATTAACTGACAGTAAAAAATGAATATTTCTTGATTCTTACATTTCAATTGCATGATAAATATGACTGAAATACAATAATTTTATCAAAATACAAGATGAGCATGTCTCTGTAGCCCACATAATTATAGAATTATTCATTATATGAAAGATGTAATCATTTAGAATGAATTATTAGTTTTATATTTATTTCATTATTCATATATTAAAGATTATAGGTTTGTAAAACTAGAATAAATTTAAATGCTTTCATGGAAAAAAGTTTCTACTATATAAAACATTCTTTAAAAAATGAATTCATTCTAAATTTAAGCAAGAGTATAATATATATGTTGAGAGAAAAAATTTTATATACAGGAAAATTATTATTAATATTTATTTACACTACAAAAAGAAATTTATTGTATATGTAGATATTTATTTGTGAATTATATTATGTTGTTACAATTATTTGTGAAAATAAGTATAAAATACAGTTGAAATAAACTACATGATATAATAAAAGTAAATAGAGGAGAAGGTGGTATTATGGAACACTGCAGGTATTATGGAACCACCCCATTTCGAACTGATAATAAAGGCGAACTGTAGCGGAATGTGGATGAACTGAACTAGGCAGACATCCATAGCAAGGGGAAAACCCGTTTTACTTCAGTTAAACAGTTGTCCGTATTTAATCAGCAAATTTGTTTTTTTCAAAATTCACAAGTTTTGAATGCTAAGTGAATTTAATTATTTTTAAAATATAAATCGCGTAGTTGTAGGTTCACTGGTGCATGTATTCCGTTCCAGAGACTTAGGGGTACATATTAATCTGTGTGATGTTCACGTTTTTTAAATTTTGGTCTCGACAGACATAAGTTAATTCGAGATGGCGATGCGTGAAATACGGACCCCTTTGGTGCTTTTACAGTAATATGGAACTCAACTCCTCCGAACTCTCTCTTTGCAATCAGACATTCGTCCGGAGCAATTTGGGAAAAAGACACTAGGTAGAAAGTCTGAAAATATCGAAAAAGAGCTGCTGGAATATATATTGTTGATGGAGGTCATATTTTTCTATTATAAAAGCATTTTTGCGATAAAATACATTGGAGTAAATAATTTTGTAATTATTTAACATTTTTTGTCCTTTCCTATTTGTTTTTGGCTACATTAAAGCATTTTTTTGAAAATATACAGTAAGGTTCCATATTACCACCCGATTTTCTCTAAGCCTACTTTCGGACTTTTTGTACAAAAGCCTTCAAAAACCATACTTATAATTACACTAGCGAAAAATCCAATTAGGAACATTTAGTTTACTAGTTACCAGTACTTTTCGCACAAAAAATGTGGGTGTAGTTATGATACCTTGTTTACAATTCACTAAAATGTAATTGGGGTTCCATAATACCACCTTCTCCTCTATAATCATATATAAATTTTTCATTTTTTATTTTAATTATATGTACTCAGTTTTGGGATTTATAAGGTAGTATTTAACTCTACTTACTATAAAAATACTGAATAGTCTTCATTTGCATATATTTTAATTATTTTGATATGTATCACATATTCAATTTTTGTCCTCCTAACCCAAACAGATCTTGAAATTTTAACAAATTCAAAACAGTAGAAGCCATTTATTGTAATCACAGATGTTGATATCAGTTGTATAATGTTATCAGAATTAGATAGCACAAAAAAATAAAATTTTGCTTGTAGAAAAGTTTCAGTTAGAAATTTTAAGATAAATAAGCACTTTGAAGCTGGTAGTGTAAAAAGATAACTTAATAGTTGTAGATTATTAGCCACATTTATTACTTATCAGTTATTGTTATTGGTCTTAGCCAGTGCTTTAAATATTAATTGTTATGAACTCACAGTACAGTAGTTTAAATTCAAGTAATTTAAACTACTGCACTGTGAGTTCATAACAATTAAGAATAGTAATTATAATTGTTAATTAACAAATATTGAAGATTTATTATTAATCTTTTATTTGTTTTAACATGTCCTTTTAATGCAAGAGTTCATAAAGCCAAATTTCCATTAACTTTATACTAATTTGAAGTGTTATTTACTTACTCCACTTAATTTTATCAAATGGTTATTGTTATCAGTGTGCAAGGTCCAAACCTAAGAAAACAAAAACCTCCCACTAGAGTTTGTTAAACAATCAAACTTTATTAAACTAGGAATGCCAGAACTAATTTGAACACAAAAGTATAACTGCAGAGAATATTACAAAAACTCAAATGTTATATTAAATGTACTGCTGAATTTTTATTGGGTTGTATTAAAGCTAATTAAATATCCAAAACAAAGCAATTTGGCTAGAGCCTTAATATAGCTTCATAAAAATCCAGCAGATCATTTAGTATTACTAATGTACAGTACCAGGTTATGTTTGTTATTATATATGCAGATATTACCATTTCAATTCACTAATTACAACAGTAAAATTAGTTATTAGTAAAAAAATAAACTATAGTTATTCAAAATCTCAAAATACTTAACATAATTAGGGAAAAGAATATAGAAGAGGAAAATTCCTTAATCAGTAACAATGATTTATAGTTCAGCAGCTACACTCTGACCAATAGAAGAAAAGAAACTAGCTTGTGTTAATTTGACAATTTTCTTTTATACATTATTAATTTGCATACTACAAGTGTTTACAATAAATATGTTTTTTGCCTACTTGTGTTTATGCCAGCATTAAATATAACTAAATTATTAAATCAGTGGGATGTAATTCCATTCATTATTCAAATCTTATTATTAAGATTATGCAGATGAAACTCTAGTTGGGAAATGCTGAGATAGCAATTGAGTTCTAATATAATCCAACCCCAAAACATATTTTAACAAAGACAAAAATTGGAAATAATGTGACTGAATATAAGTGAAAATCAAAAATTCTCTCTTGCATCTGACAAGTATAGATGAGTTCCAAACTAATTACAATAAGTGGATTTTATTACATTTACAAAATAAGTAATCTTCTAATTTCTAAAATTATGCTTAATTGTGGGTTATGAATATAAATAAAAATGATTAAGAGATATTTCAAGAAATCTATACAAACTAAATATTTTTATGTTTGCTGAATACTGAAAACAATGTAATAAAAAGAAAACTGTTGAAAAATAATTTTTTTTCTATAGTATAATTATTGTATTTTTAATATATCAGTATTTTTTAAGCTTAATATTATAAATTCATTGTTAAATATATTCATATAATACATGTTGTGAATTTTTATAAAAGCATTCTTCCACAAACTAATACATTCCATATTTAAAAATAAATTGGTTTTTGTATTCTCTAATTTGTATCAATAGTTGAATATTCAAGTTGTTAATATTCAGAATAAATTTGTGTTAGCTACTGCAAAGATCTAAAACATATTTTTTATATATCCTGTTTTCATTCTGTAAGACTAAAATTTCTTTAAAATAAGACTATATACACTTTAAAATAGCTACAATCTAAAATATTGAAAAGTTATTTTTTATCAGTGCTCTTTATATAATTCAAAGAACAACAATACATAGGAACAGTATGCTCAAATTCAATTTATAAAAACAGTTTTAATACTGTTATAGAATGTTTTATAAATATCATATTTAAATCTTACAGTAGAACCCCTCTAATCCGGCACCTTTGAGACTGGGGGTATGGTCGGAATGCAAAAAAGGTCGGATTTTCATAAAAAAGTAAAATAAACAATCTTTCAACTGAAGAATGACTGTATTGTTCTCTACAGTAAAAACATTGCAATAAATTGCACAAAAGCTGTTATTATTAATGAAAAAAAGGAAATTAAAAGTTTAAATTAAAAAAGCAATGTAAAAATTAAAGATAGCCTATAGTAAAAAAATTACTTAGAAAAAAAGTTGGTTATAGATTTTTGTTTGGCAGTGTTCCTCCATTTCTTGATCCACAAAATCTCCATAGGTGTTGAGGTTGAGTTCTGCTCGATGTACTGAAGGGCAATATCAAAAGCGTTCTTGGCGTCTGTGTGTGAAATCCAGGTAGGGGGTTCATCACCGTCCGAGTCCTCATTTACAGTTTCTTCACTATTATTTTCCAAAACAGCAGCAATAATCTGGTTGTCATTGAGCTCTTCACTGGTTTCACAGTCTTTGTCACATTTGGCAATCCACTCCTCAACTTCACTGGCAGGGACATTCAGTTGTACAGTTTGTAGATCTTTAACAATTTTCTGCATGTCGTTATTTTGCTTGTCTTCGATCTACTCACTTTTGGTCATAACTTCTGGCCAAACCTTACGCCATGATTTTTGCAGCGTGTCAGTTCCTCCCATGACTGGCAATTGTATAGATAGCATCTTTGATGTTGAGTGATTTCATAGCTTCAAATATGTTACAACCTTCTTTCAGCCTTTCTAAAATTGAGCTAATGTACTTTCTGCAATAGTGCCTCTTTAACCATTCTATCACTCCCTGATCCATTGATTGGATAAGTGATGTGACATTTGGTGGAAGGAAGATAGCTTTTATGTCCCCTTTCACTAAATCCTTCTCAGACAGATGTGATGGTTCGTTATCCAACAGCAATAGAGCATGAACAGGACGCTTTTTTGTTTCGGGTCTTTTTCAACAGATGGAACAAACTCGTCAAAAAACCAAGATTTGAAAAGATGGCAGTCCATCCAAGCAGATTTTTGATTGCAGTAATAAACCGGCAAGGAAGATAAGTTTGTTTTTGAATTCCCTAGGCTTCTTAGATTTGCCAATAACGAACAGGGGAAGCTTATGTGTACCATCAGCATTATTGCAAGGAGCAACAGTTAGCCTATTTTTTTTATAAGTTTTGTTCTTGCAACAGTTTCATTTGATGTAGCGAGCGTTTTGTTTGGCAGCATTTTATAGTTTAGGCCTGTCTCATCTATGTTATAGACTTGGCAAGGTAACAGTTCATTTTCTTTGACAATTTCTTGAAACTTCACAGAAAACTCCTTAGCCACCTCGGCATCAGCAAATAGTTTTTTACCAGAAATTGAAGCAAACCAGACGCCATGATGAGTTTTCCAGCGATCAATCCAGTCTTCACTAGCTATGAACTCACTTCTGGCTTCTACTTTTTTGTACAAAGCTGTTAACTTTTCTTTTATAATGGGCCCAGATATCGGGGTTCCCTTCCTTCTTTCTTGTCAGAACCACATCCACAATGTGTTGTCAAGCAGTTCAAGTTTAAGCTTTCTCAACGTTTTCCGATTCTTAAGTGCATTTTTGCTATCTATCATTACTGTGTATGATTTAATGTCTTTCCGATTTTTTCTCCAATCTTTTATTGTAGTAACGCCTACATTGAATTCCTTGACAATTTTTTGGAGTGATTCCCCTTAGTCCAGTCTTTGTAGCACTGCTAATTTTTCATTTAATGAAAGAGTAATGTGTTTACATTTCACTCCTGACATGTTGAAAAAAACACACAAAACTGTACATGTACACACAATGTGAAACATATACTGTAACGAACACAGGATAATGCAACGGATGGTGAGTCACCGATGAGTCAGGACAAGTTACTCAACTCAGACCATGATTGGATTAACTGGAGCAACGGACTAGCCGAGAGCAGACTAGAGGGGTTTTACTGTATTTGTATAATTTGTAGTAGTAATTTATTTATGAAAATGATATTTTTTAATCAACCAACAGAAAATACATCCATGCTTGGCACCATATTAAATAAATAAATGCTAATGAAAATAGCATTTATTTATTTTAATTAATATTTTTGATTTCAAATTTACAATTTAAAATTTTTAATACTGTATGATTATGATTAACAACTATTTTTGTAGGAATGCTTATTTTAAACTAATTTTTTACATGAATAAATTTTCAGATGGTCCAAATGATTACATTCCTATGCAAAATGTTCCTTATGTTCAAATAGCAGCAAATAATAGTTTAATTGTTATGCCTGCTTTAAAATCTCATACTGGTTTTTATCTATGTTCTGCATCAAGTGGATTTGGAAGTGATTTAAGTAAATTAATTAAATTGACAGTATATGGTAAATAGTTTTAAAAATATTTTAAAATTTTATATTGAATATTTGTAAATAATAATATAACCATTTGTTTATATTTTGAATGGTTTCACTTTAGTTCCACCAAAAATAGATAGTCATTACAATAGTAAGATAGTGGAAAGTGGCAGTAGTGTTTCTCTACCTTGTCAATCATTTGGAGATCAACCACTACAGTTTGACTGGAGAAAAGGCAATAAATCCATTAAAAATGATAAATATAACAGGTAAATTATCTTTAAATATAAAATTATTTTTTAAAGTACAGAATTCACACATCAGGTTATTTAATTTTGTATTTAATTTTTGTATATAATTAATGTTTGATCTTTTGAGTTTACCTGACCAGATATCATATACAGTAAAACCTGTCTAAAACAGAAACCTGCTTAAACAGAAAAAAAATTCTTTGGAACAGAGTGATTTTTTTATTGTTAAATTCTGTTATAAGCTAGAAACCTATCCAATACAGAAATAGGTGTTTTTGCTATAAAGAATGTTTCTTTCTTGTGACACTTTAAATTATATTAGATAAATTATTAATAATTTAAGATAAAAAAGAAAAAATACAAAAATCTGTTCAAAACATAAACTTGAAAAAATGGAAAAATAATTTGGTATCATGCAATTCTGGTTTACATAGGTTATACTATATGTTATTATATGTATATATAAAAGAGCTTAACTTTTAATATTATTGTGAAATATAATCATTATTCTTGAACTAATTGTTTATATACATGTACTTATTTATATTTCCAATGTGGTTCCTGAAATATAGCAGTAAACATTTATCTTGATGTCAGAATTTTGATTTGGATTAATAGAACAATAAATCAACATGATTTACTGTAATAAAACTATCCAAGTAGAACTTAAGATAAATATTATTCTGATTTTTAAATTGTATTTTTTGAAGTTTTCTTATGAAAAGAAGAATATATACATATATACAGTAATTTATATAATATGTATTATATAAACTTTTTATTAATTTTATTAAAGTACATATTTAGATACCATATAAATATATGAATGAAATTTTGACATATATTTTAACTTATTTCTATTCACATGATGTGACTAAAAAGTTTGGTGAATTGTTAAGATATCTTGGAAGTAAACTTAGAATTTAGTAGTAGTTTTCTTTTTCAATTTATAGCCAAATTACTTTTTAATAATTNCAGTACCTATTTACATAAATTATGAATTTATTTTTTTAATAAAAATTTCACATACTATCTTATTTATGTACAGTATGTTGTGAAATATGTACAAAAATTTTAAATTTTAAAGTTGTTAATATTTCAAATGCCATTACACAGTGTGTCAATTAAGTAATAAACCTGTTGTTATAACATAAACACGAGCTTTTACTTTTCAAAAAAATTATATGTTTTTGAAATAATTTCCCACTGTTGCTCTACAACACTGGTATTGATCATAGAAACTGTTGAAAGCATGCTGGAAGTGTTAATTGAGATGTTCCACAACTCAGTTATTGCTTTCTGGATGCTTAGCAGATCATCAAAACATTTGCCTTTCAAGATCAATTTCATTTGTAATTTGACAAATTGTTCTTCTTGTAACCTCTTCTAGATGTTTAAATAATATGTAGCATTAACCTCTTTTTTCTTGGGGAGCAAATGCTTGTTGGATAATGCTAGCAGTTTAAAAAAATAATCATCATCGTCTTCACTTACAATTTTTCAAATCTGACCTTATCAGTAATGATTTAATTTAGCACATTCCTATCTGGATCAACAAATTTGACAAATTTCTAGCAATTCACATTATGTTTCTTTTGTTCTAATGAAAATGAGTGTGGTACAAATTACATTTTTTTCAAACCTTCTTTTTGTTCAAATCAATGAAGAAAAAAATTAATACTAATGTGCGATACTTTTGATTGTGATTTTTAGTTAAATATTGATTGCTTTAATAAATATGTTTCTCTTAATTACAAAACAAATAGTATACTTTTGCTAACTTTTTAAATTTAACCCTATATTTTATACTGTCCTTTATTTTGTATGGCACAGATTTGCATAATATGACACTTATTCAGAACCTAAATACCATGTTATACAAGGAATATCTGTTTGTGAAAGATATTTGTTTAAATTATTTAAAATGTTTTCAGCCTTATATTTTATAATTTATTCAGGTATGAAATCAAAAAAGAGATTAAGCAAATGTTTGTAACATCTGTTTTAACAATAAATGACATCCAGAAAAGCGATGAAGGTGTATTTACTTGTTTTGTAGAAAATTTGTTTGGGCAAGATCAACTACATATTAAAATTACTGTTTTAGGTAAGTGAATTTTTAATAAGTTAAAAGTTAACAAATTTTTTTATATATATAAAAAGTAAATAAATTTAATAAGAAGTAATTAGTTTGCATAAATAATTTACTAAATTAGATACTGTATATAACTTAAATATATATATTATTTTTTTATTCAGGTTCTCTATTTATGAACTAATGATGATGGCTTAAATTAAATTTTCAGTTTAGAAAGTCTAATGTTAAGTTTTTATCAAATTTTCAATAAGCTGTTGTTATATATTGTTATATAATTTTATAAAGTTGTTGACATTTTTTAAATTTTTATTATATTAACCATATTTTAATCAAATTTGAATTTACATAATACAGTTATCATTATATGTTTTAGAAAGATGCATATTATTTATATACATGTCAAACTTTAAAATACACATTAGTTTTAAACATTTATTTATCATAAATAGTACTGCAATTTTTCATGGATAACCTGCAGGTTATCTATGTTTAGAAGTCAATTTGAAAACAGCTGTGGATTATGCAATAATGTGGGTTATTAGCCAATTTTAACTTGCACTTATAAATTCATTAAACAACTTTTCCTTTGTCTTTAGAAAATGTAAAATATCCTTTTACTTGCTACAGACATATTTATCTACCATGATGATTTTCCCGATAAAACTACTGAAGGCACATATACATATGCCTTTACTTTTCTTTAGTTTTTCTGTAGATCAATCTATAGTTTAATTGATATTGTTAGACACTTCCAGTTGAACTTGTATCTTGAAAAATGATAACTTCCCAGTAGGTCTCCTCTCCATGTAGCAATTCTCAAATAATTAGAAATAATTATTTATTCACATGAAATTATGACTATTAATTATTTTTAAGTTTTTGTTAATTTAAATATTTAAGAAAAAGTAATCATTGTAAAAGTAGTTTGATGTTTAAGAGTCACTATTTTAGTAAGAACCTTGTAAGAAAATATATTAATTAATACTGACCCACAGAAAATAAGTCTTTAGAAAAAATCATTTGTTTTAAAATTATAAAACAAATTATGAAATATATAATTACAATTTTAATATTCAATGTAATATTACATTATTTTATTGCCTTCTGTTTATCAAATACTTTAAATCAATATTTGTAAGAGGAGTTATTGTTTGCTGGAGAGAGATTTTTTTTGTATAATTACTGTTGAAATCAGAGCTGTTTTAATTTCTGTTAGGTATAAGAAACTAGATTTTTTGTATTAAGTATTTTTGAAATATTGAATATATTTTAATTAAATATTTATAACTGATGTACATGATTTTACTAAATATAGAAATTTGAAGTTTTCATTTATATTCTTTATATATTTCATATCTCACCTGATATCAAATTTACTATTTTTGCATCAGATACTAATTGAATTTCATTTGATTATTTGAATATTAAAAACGATTGAGAATTGAGTAAATTATGTTTACTTTTCAAACTATCAGTGAAAGTGCTGGAATAAGTCCTTTCAAAATAGGAAAGGATTAGCCTTTGATTACAGTGCACAGATAATCCAAAGAATAGAAATGGAAGAATTTAATCATCAGAAATAGAAACTAGTTACATTCAAACCATTCAAAATTTGCCATAAATATACTTAGAGTTCTGACAGTTACTCTCTTCATTCAGAAAAGTATGCATTTATTCACAAATTATTTAACCTAAATATCATAATAGTCATGATGAAATAAACCTTGAATTGTAAATTTTTAAAAGTAATGTTTGAAGGAAACTTAGTTTTTGTATCTTTTCTATTTGGACATGGTCGTGTTCTTAATCAAATAGAAAAAAATTGACTTGTGTCTTCCTAAGGGAACTTTTGAATATTCATATAATTTGTCAGTTGATACAAAACATAATGTTTTAACTGAAATAACTGAGTAACATAATACAGTAAATAAAAAGTTACTCTTTTATAGATATTAATTTNTTAAAAGGTAATTTTTGTTTTTTAAATAAAACATAATACAAAATATTATTGTAAATTTTTTATAATAAGATTTTAAAAAGCAAAGATGATCAATACTCCGATCATTCAATCTGATTCTTATTTTAATAATGAAAAGTTTCGCTACCGAGAATGCCCTTTTTGATTCAATTGATATGAGTGGAATTGTGTTTAACTCATTTAAGAGAAGACAGATATTATGTATTTTTTCACCTATAGCATGGAAGATTTCTAGTTTGTTTTTAAGATTGTAGTACTTCTTTTACTTTCTAGTATTCTTGATTTGTCTACCTCAGCTGCTTTAATAGTGGCATCAAGCTTACAACCTGATAATTTGGCAGTTTATTTGTCTTTAATAATCAGGTTTACGAAGAAAACCTTCATACTTGCAGACTTCGTACTCATTTGTATCCTTGCCCAATTTGCACAACCTGGTGTTATGCATTTATTGAAGCTACTGGGCATGGTTAAAAATTAAGACAGCATAAGCACAATTATTCCATATATTACAGGTTTTGACAAGTAAAGAATTTTCAGAGTCCTGCCACAAATAAGCTACGTATTGATTATTGACCATTTGTGACATGCCATAATAAGCAAAAATTTAAAAAAAAACTAATAGTTAGGTTTAAAATTAATAAATACAAATGTATTCTGACAGTGAATGAGTTAATTATGCTTTCTATTTGCAAAATTCCTCAACCTTAACACAAAATAAGAAAGAAAGTGAATTTTTAAGAAATTTGAGGGATTTTCCAGGTTAAAAAAATCAACTGGGATCCCATTTGAGAAACCATACCTGTGACTAAAATTAAACGTTGATCTTTCTATCACCTATTTCATTTTGTCTGTCTAATTTCTTAACACCCTATATAAGATTTTACAATTCAGTTTTCCTATCTAATATGAATAACTTTCAATTTTATCAAAACAACTTTTATCCTGTTTGTTTCTTGAGCACTTTGTGTCTATGAGAGTCATTTAAATTCTTAGTATTCAAATCTATTTGAGATTCATTCAAATCCTTGGTGTTTTGATGAGGAAAATATATTTATGAAATTAATGGAAATGTATTTATGATAACACTAGTTTTTATAAAGTTTTTTGTTTTTATGCAGGCAAAATATTTCTATTTTCACTGTGAATCATTTCTGTTAACTTTTTCTTTTAAATGTTAAGAATGTTTATGTAAGTATATAATATAATGGAATATGTATTTACCATTATTTATTTGATGAATATATTTATTTTCTGCATATTTGGTATTGTTTATTTGAGAAAAAACATAAACTTATAAATTTTAGGAGTCAAAGCTTTATTGCTAAAATATATTTGGGTTTGAGTGACCTCTCTGTCCCTCATCAGACCCAAATATTTGAAAAATGAAATTTCCAATGTAAACATCTAATATTTTCCATTGAGCATTTGGGAAGTTTAAGTGCATGGAAGATTTTAAAAAATAGAATAGAACCCTCTTTAATTCAAAACAGCTATGTGTAAAATTAACTGTTTTTAACATGTAAACATCAAAGTTGTAAACTAAAGGATTAATACAGTGGTAACAGCAATGAAAGAAAAGTATAAAAATAAAATATCAGTAAGAATAAAAATAACTAAAAAATACAACAAAATAAACTAAAAAATTAATTAGTTCTGTTTTATTTTTTTAAAAACTGTCCATGCATTTGAACTTCTTAAAGCACTTAATGGAAAAAAAACTAGATGTTCTTGTTCAAATTTTCCTTTTTTGATATTTGGGTCTGATGATGGGTTCCAAGAAATATTTTACCAATAAAACTGATTCCTAAAGTTTGTAGCATTTGTTTTCTCCTGAAGTCATTAATTCAGAAACTAATTGTTCACTTGACAATGTTATAATAATATAAACATCAGAAATATCAATTAATGAATATGCATTATGTGCTAGGATCTTTTCAGTTATTATGATTCTTTAAATTTTTTTAAAGAAAAGATTTCATTTAGAATTTTTTGAATGTTTTGAAAATGTTTAAGTACTAAATATTAAAACAATTTCTTAATTTTATTCTAAAGTTTGAATATGCTTCATTTTAGTATCTTAATTTTTTCAAACCAATATCCTAAAGATATTAAATATCGAAATTATGTCAGTTCCTGGTTTTGAACTGACATGATATTGATGAAATGATATTATGTGAAAGATGAGACTGTGATATTATTACAAGACAATTTTATTTTATAACAACTATATGTCATTTTAAGCAGTAATTATATTGAAATTTTTTATGTTAATAATAGTGTTATTAACAATTTTGTATTAAAATATTGATTTAGAACGTCCTCAACACCCAATTGAAGTTAAACTAGAAAGAACTTGGAGTCGTAGTGCAAAAATAACTTGGAGCATTTTTTCAAATAATAATAATAAACCATTGCAATACATTATTGAATATTGGAGTATTTCAGGTAAATTTTATTTATTTAATATTTATACTTAATTTATAATAAATTTAATTTTTTAATACTTGCAAACTGGCTGAATATTGTATTCAGCCAGTTCTCAACTTTATAATCATCTGCACTTAAGACAGCCATAATCATAAATTTAAAAATTTATCTCTCTGATGTAGTTCAAATTTGATTGAATTTTTACATTTTGTAGATTAAGTGATGAAATGGAGTCAGAGATTAAGTTCAAAAATATGCTACTAATGAAAGCATATATTTTTGAACTTGATCTCTGACTCCACTTCATCACTTAAACTACAAAGTTTGATAAATCTGTGAAAAATCAACCAAATTTGAGCTACATCATGAAGCATTAACTCAGACAAGAAGCAAGAATATTTATAAAAAAATTTATTTTCAAATCTATAGAATTAGTTGCATTTGCTAATGGCACAGTTAAATGACCAATGTAATACTATAATGACCAATAAACACATAAACAAACCTACCAATTATTGTTATATAATGTTTAAATATAACTTGTGTTCATATCATTAGTTGCTCAAAAAGTGAAAATGAAACTAATTTTATGTGGAATTTCTCTGTTCAGGATTTTTATAGTAATAAATTACATTAAATTAATAAGAAACAAATAAAATGGCAAAGCCATTTTTGGTTCAAGACTATGTCTCAGAGAGCGCGAGCAACACATGCTCAATTCCGCACTCACTCCTGTTTGTAGAAACAGTCTCAGCATTTCGTATTTTCTTTTGACCCAGTTCTTGGCCCCCTGACTATCTACAAGTCTGGTTTATTTTATGTGCGCATGATTTGGGCACCAAATACTCTGTGCCAAATTGCAACTCCTGACATGTACTCCTTCATACCTCTAAGGTGTGCAGCCATCGACAGCAGTATGATTTTAGTGATGAGACATAGGCTTGTCAATTAACAATAAAAAGTAAAGTTAGTTCTGTACAAAGATTGTAATAATCTCTTGGTAACATTTTTGGAGCATTTTGAACTTGTTTGTCCCCTGTGTGTTTCTATAAATATTTGTTTTAATGAAATATTATAATTAATTAATTAAAATATTAAATATTAGTTTGAAATATAATACACTTGTTGTTGTTTTATATTACAATACATAAATGAGAGAGAAACATCTTATTTGTATCCAGCAAATGAGTTTAATAAATTAAAAATGTTTTCAACCTCTATATGTAGACCTTCTTCAGTTAATATAGTTCAAAATAGAATGATTAAAAAAATCAAACTAGTTAATGGAATCAAACACAAATGATATTCATTGTTTAAAAGAATAAAATACAAAATTTTAAAATTTAACATAAACTAATAAGGAAATAATTTTCCAATTCTGAAAAAAATAAATTGTTGTTCTTAGCTACCTATGCGAGTGTGATTTTATAAATGCAATCCTATAATTTGGTATCCTAAAAAATGACAATCCCAAAGAAAATTGTTTAATACCCCAGAAGACTACCATTCCACTGAAGGACCAATGTTTCAGCCAAAGACTTCTCAATGTATGGGACCACCACATGTAACTTTGAAAAAGTTCAAAGAATATCAATACACAGTTAACAAGAACATGAAGAATACAATCTTAACAGTATAAGCCAACCAACAAGGTGTACAGGTTGCTTGGGAGGGCTCCAAGATGAAATAATTAACACAACAGTGTAGCTGCATTACAAACAATTTATTAGCCTAATTAAGATGTACTTGCTAGTACTTTCAACAGCTTAGTCACCAGCATCAGGTGAGAAAGAATTTAATATAATTAGAATATATTATTATTGGCATATTTGTTCTCATATAAAAAGTATATTGACAGTTGAAACTTTCTCTTAAGCATGCAACACATGCTAAGCTAGCCCAGAGAAATCGTCCCTGTTTGTTGGATACAAATAAGTTATGTTCCATTATTTCTGTGATTCTCATCCAGTTTCTACATATTTATTTGTATTACAGTACTTATACACAGTAACTGATTAATTATAATATACATATATATGCAATATTATTTTAAGCTTATAAGTAGCTTTGGAAACTCTCTACCCATTATTAGTTATGACAAATTTGACTTGCAATAGGAGTCCAGGAACATATCTGATCATACATTTCATCATAAGTCAAGGACTACCTGTGTATTATTAAAACTTTTATCACTTTTATGTTAATGAAACTTTTCTCATTTATTGAAATATAATTTTAGAATTGTTTTAATTGATAATTGCCTGATGTCTTTATTGTCCAATTTTATAAGAAAATTTTATTTTTTCAATATTCTAGTGTTGTAGATGAAACTGAAATAAGAAATTATTTTAGAATTTGTAAATGCATGTTTAAAATAACAAAAATAAAGTTTTGTATAATAAATAAAATAGCTATAACATTAATAATCATTAAAGAGAAAATTCATCTTATAAAACAAAACAGTAATAATCATCAACATTTTCAAATTGAAATTCTGATATATTGTTGAATATATAACATTGACATAAGAGAAATCAATATTTCATTATTTCTAGGATAATTGAATCAAATATGTAAAAAAATCTAAAATTAAATGAAGAATAGAAATTTTAAATTCTGTACTTGTAAATATATTAAGTAATTATAAAATATTTAAATAAAAGTTGTTTTACAAATATAATATTGCTAAATCTTAAAGATATTAAATAATAATAAATTCAAGTATTTGAAAAATCTCTTGTGCTCCTCAATTGCAAATAAATACTCACTATGATTTAAAAATTGGCTTATTAATATTGAATTATTGATATGTTAACTGTAAAATATATATATATATATATAACTTTTGAAAATTACATATTACATGAAATATTAATTTATAGATCACTTTGTATATTATAATTATAAATTTAGGAATTTGTCATAGTATGCATTCATATTTTGAAAATTTACCTTGGTTAAGAATTTCTTCTAAATTTTTCTTAAAATTGACATTTATTTAAAAAATATATATATTTGCTTTTATATTTAAATCAAATTAATTTTGAGACATGAAAACTAAAAAATTTATTAAAAGAAAAACAACATTTAAAAATTTTTAAATATAACTTTTCAAAAGACTGACTGATTAGTTGCCATAACATAAGCAATAAACAATTGTACTAAGTAATAAAAACTTTGTTTCTTTATTTAATCTAACTTTAATTTTCATATAAAACTTCCAGATCCAGAAGGGATGCATAAAAATAATTCAATTCCTGGTTCTGTAACATGGTTTATTATAAATGATCTTCAACCTGCATCTAAATATCGTGCTCAGGTTTATGCGGAAAATAATATTGGAATAAGTCAGCCATCTGAACAAATTGTTTTTACTACTGGTAATGAAGGTAGGCATTGTTTCTAATCACAAATTAAGATTTATTGTTTAAAGATATGAATAAACAGGATTTGTTTTATTTGAATTATTGATGGTTTAGATTTAATCAACAAATTGTGAAAATGATATACATAATGTAAAAATTAATTTCAGAACCTTCTGCATCTCCTAAAGATTGTCATTTAGAAGAAGTTGGGGCCACTTATGCTCGAATTTCTTGGAGAGTAAGTTCTTTTTATACTCTTAAGTGTAAAATATATTTAGTACTTTATCACAGTTTATGCTTTTTTAGTCTATATTTAGTACTTATGTAAACCATGTTAAAAAATATTGATTACATTTTTATATCTATTTATATTTCTAGAAATGTCTTACTGTGTAGTATATTTTTTTATTTTATGTTATTTGATATTAATATTATTTAGAAATATATCACAAATTTTAAACTTTAAATATTGAAAAAAATGTTACAAGCTATATTCTTATATATTATAATTATTTATCATATATAATTATGAAAGTAATTTTTTTCTGGATCAGTGGCATGGCATCATTTTTGTAAGGGTGGAGATATAAAGAACCAAAAAGTAGGAACAGAAATTCTTTCATTCATACATCATGGGAATAGCTACCCTCAGGAAAACAGGAGTATTCCCAGAAAAAACATTGTATATTTACTGAATTTTTAAGAGAAAGAATACCAGATAAAATAAATGGATGAATGACTGCAGAATTATTTATTTGGAGATAGTATGCTAACATTTTAAGTCAAAATGTCATGATTTGACTTAAAATCATGACATTTTGACTTAAAATGTTGATTGAGGAATTTTTGGATGTACTGGTAGCTAGTTTGCTCATACGTGTATGATATAGGGTTCCTTTCTTAGACTAGCACATTTTTTTGGTAATGGTCTAAGGTAGTCTAAAGGGACTTGCTAATAGATGGGAGGGGTCTGTTCTACACCAGGCTTCATACAAGCTTTCTATGACCATGTTGACATGTAATATTATTAAGATTATAAGATCAGTAATCAGCACACACTACAATATTTTCAGGTAAAGCTATATCTTCCATTTTTGTCAATAGAACTATGCCACTGTTTTAGGTAAAAATTACAATATAAATATGAAAAATAAGTAAGAATTTTTAAGAATTACAACTATTTAAAATAATTTAATGTTGGTACATAAATGAAAATATAAATTATACTGGTTTTTGAAATGTTAAATATAAAGCAGCCACAAATGTATGTATTTATGAAAAATACAAATCATCAAATATCAATAGTGTTCTTTCTCATTTTTTAATCATAAAAATTACTTTATCTGTATGAAATTAACTTACATTTTTTTATGAAATTCAGTGAAACTAAATTTTTATCACAAAGAAAAATATCATTGAATAAAATAAACAAAAATTAACTGAATAGAATTTATCAGTAATTTGTGATAGTATAACAATTTCAAAATTACATATATTATTTGAAGTATAGAAAATTTGCTCTAAGAACATGTTTAAGTTACAGATTTTAAAATTCATATGAATTTTTAGAGTAAAATATCAATAAATATTGGTATTAGAGATGAGTGCGCAAGTCTATGTTCACAAAATGGAATTATGCCGTTGAACAAAATGTTTTTCTTAATAATGTCTTCAGTGTTAAAGATGACTAAAAGACAAACCTTTTGTTTTACACAAGACTTTATTCACAAGCACTTTCAATAACACATTATCATCATCAGATGAACACCTGATGATGATAATGTTCTTATTCCATTTCCATTCTGCTCATCTGAACAGAATGGAAATGGAATAAGAATTTCTTTTCCTTGTTTAATAAAAACTATATTCCAAAAGTAATAATTTAAATGATTGTTTTATGATTACATTAAATTAGAAAAAATTAAATTATAAAAAAATTTATTTAAAATATAAAACAAGTGAAATTTTATTTTTTAGCCTCCATCAAATAGACATTGGAATGGAGAATTAATTGGCTTTTATATTGGTTATAAAATTACATCTTCAAATTCTGTTTATAGTTATCACACTGTACCTCTAACGGGTGATATACATTCATTCATACTTCGAAATTTAAGAAAATATACAAGATATACTGTTATAATTAAAGCATATAATAGTGTTGGTACGGGTCCACCTTCAGAAGAACTTCAGTTCAGAACAAAAGAGGAAGGTAATAAAATAAATTTATGANAAATTACATTTTTTTCAAACCTTCTTTTTGTTCAAATCAATGAAGAAAAAATTAATACTAATGTGCGATACTTTTGATTGTGATTTTTAGTTAAATATTGATTGCTTTAATAAATATGTTTCTCTTAATTACAAAACAAATAGTATACTTTTGCTAACTTTTTAAATTTAACCCTATATTTTATACTGTCCTTTATTTTGTATGGCACAGATTTGCATAATATGACACTTATTCAGAACCTAAATACCATGTTATACAAGGAATATCTGTTTGTGAAAGATATTTGTTTAAATTATTTAAAATGTTTTCAGCCTTATATTTTATAATTTATTCAGGTATGAAATCAAAAAAGAGATTAAGCAAATGTTTGTAACATCTGTTTTAACAATAAATGACATCCAGAAAAGCGATGAAGGTGTATTTACTTGTTTTGTAGAAAATTTGTTTGGGCAAGATCAACTACATATTAAAATTACTGTTTTAGGTAAGTGAATTTTTAATAAGTTAAAAGTTAACAAATTTTTTTATATATATAAAAAGTAAATAAATTTAATAAGAAGTAATTAGTTTGCATAAATAATTTACTAAATTAGATACTGTATATAACTTAAATATATATATTATTTTTTTATTCAGGTTCTCTATTTATGAACTAATGATGATGGCTTAAATTAAATTTTCAGTTTAGAAAGTCTAATGTTAAGTTTTTATCAAATTTTCAATAAGCTGTTGTTATATATTGTTATATAATTTTATAAAGTTGTTGACATTTTTTAAATTTTTATTATATTAACCATATTTTAATCAAATTTGAATTTACATAATACAGTTATCATTATATGTTTTAGAAAGATGCATATTATTTATATACATGTCAAACTTTAAAATACACATTAGTTTTAAACATTTATTTATCATAAATAGTACTGCAATTTTTCATGGATAACCTGCAGGTTATCTATGTTTAGAAGTCAATTTGAAAACAGCTGTGGATTATGCAATAATGTGGGTTATTAGCCAATTTTAACTTGCACTTATAAATTCATTAAACAACTTTTCCTTTGTCTTTAGAAAATGTAAAATATCCTTTTACTTGCTACAGACATATTTATCTACCATGATGATTTTCCCGATAAAACTACTGAAGGCACATATACATATGCCTTTACTTTTCTTTAGTTTTTCTGTAGATCAATCTATAGTTTAATTGATATTGTTAGACACTTCCAGTTGAACTTGTATCTTGAAAAATGATAACTTCCCAGTAGGTCTCCTCTCCATGTAGCAATTCTCAAATAATTAGAAATAATTATTTATTCACATGAAATTATGACTATTAATTATTTTTAAGTTTTTGTTAATTTAAATATTTAAGAAAAAGTAATCATTGTAAAAGTAGTTTGATGTTTAAGAGTCACTATTTTAGTAAGAACCTTGTAAGAAAATATATTAATTAATACTGACCCACAGAAAATAAGTCTTTAGAAAAAATCATTTGTTTTAAAATTATAAAACAAATTATGAAATATATAATTACAATTTTAATATTCAATGTAATATTACATTATTTTATTGCCTTCTGTTTATCAAATACTTTAAATCAATATTTGTAAGAGGAGTTATTGTTTGCTGGAGAGAGATTTTTTTTGTATAATTACTGTTGAAATCAGAGCTGTTTTAATTTCTGTTAGGTATAAGAAACTAGATTTTTTGTATTAAGTATTTTTGAAATATTGAATATATTTTAATTAAATATTTATAACTGATGTACATGATTTTACTAAATATAGAAATTTGAAGTTTTCATTTATATTCTTTATATATTTCATATCTCACCTGATATCAAATTTACTATTTTTGCATCAGATACTAATTGAATTTCATTTGATTATTTGAATATTAAAAACGATTGAGAATTGAGTAAATTATGTTTACTTTTCAAACTATCAGTGAAAGTGCTGGAATAAGTCCTTTCAAAATAGGAAAGGATTAGCCTTTGATTACAGTGCACAGATAATCCAAAGAATAGAAATGGAAGAATTTAATCATCAGAAATAGAAACTAGTTACATTCAAACCATTCAAAATTTGCCATAAATATACTTAGAGTTCTGACAGTTACTCTCTTCATTCAGAAAAGTATGCATTTATTCACAAATTATTTAACCTAAATATCATAATAGTCATGATGAAATAAACCTTGAATTGTAAATTTTTAAAAGTAATGTTTGAAGGAAACTTAGTTTTTGTATCTTTTCTATTTGGACATGGTCGTGTTCTTAATCAAATAGAAAAAAATTGACTTGTGTCTTCCTAAGGGAACTTTTGAATATTCATATAATTTGTCAGTTGATACAAAACATAATGTTTTAACTGAAATAACTGAGTAACATAATACAGTAAATAAAAAGTTACTCTTTTATAGATATTAATTTCAAAATTATCTTAAAAATATATTTATGAAATTAATGGAAATGTATTTATGATAACACTAGTTTTTATAAAGTTTTTTGTTTTTATGCAGGCAAAATATTTCTATTTTCACTGTGAATCATTTCTGTTAACTTTTTCTTTTAAATGTTAAGAATGTTTATGTAAGTATATAATATAATGGAATATGTATTTACCATTATTTATTTGATGAATATATTTATTTTCTGCATATTTGGTATTGTTTATTTGAGAAAAAACATAAACTTATAAATTTTAGGAGTCAAAGCTTTATTGCTAAAATATATTTGGGTTTGAGTGACCTCTCTGTCCCTCATCAGACCCAAATATTTGAAAAATGAAATTTCCAATGTAAACATCTAATATTTTCCATTGAGCATTTGGGAAGTTTAAGTGCATGGAAGATTTTAAAAAATAGAATAGAACCCTCTTTAATTCAAAACAGCTATGTGTAAAATTAACTGTTTTTAACATGTAAACATCAAAGTTGTAAACTAAAGGATTAATACAGTGGTAACAGCAATGAAAGAAAAGTATAAAAATAAAATATCAGTAAGAATAAAAATAACTAAAAAATACAACAAAATAAACTAAAAAATTAATTAGTTCTGTTTTATTTTTTTAAAAACTGTCCATGCATTTGAACTTCTTAAAGCACTTAATGGAAAAAAAACTAGATGTTCTTGTTCAAATTTTCCTTTTTTGATATTTGGGTCTGATGATGGGTTCCAAGAAATATTTTACCAATAAAACTGATTCCTAAAGTTTGTAGCATTTGTTTTCTCCTGAAGTCATTAATTCAGAAACTAATTGTTCACTTGACAATGTTATAATAATATAAACATCAGAAATATCAATTAATGAATATGCATTATGTGCTAGGATCTTTTCAGTTATTATGATTCTTTAAATTTTTTTAAAGAAAAGATTTCATTTAGAATTTTTTGAATGTTTTGAAAATGTTTAAGTACTAAATATTAAAACAATTTCTTAATTTTATTCTAAAGTTTGAATATGCTTCATTTTAGTATCTTAATTTTTTCAAACCAATATCCTAAAGATATTAAATATCGAAATTATGTCAGTTCCTGGTTTTGAACTGACATGATATTGATGAAATGATATTATGTGAAAGATGAGACTGTGATATTATTACAAGACAATTTTATTTTATAACAACTATATGTCATTTTAAGCAGTAATTATATTGAAATTTTTTATGTTAATAATAGTGTTATTAACAATTTTGTATTAAAATATTGATTTAGAACGTCCTCAACACCCAATTGAAGTTAAACTAGAAAGAACTTGGAGTCGTAGTGCAAAAATAACTTGGAGCATTTTTTCAAATAATAATAATAAACCATTGCAATACATTATTGAATATTGGAGTATTTCAGGTAAATTTTATTTATTTAATATTTATACTTAATTTATAATAAATTTAATTTTTTAATACTTGCAAACTGGCTGAATATTGTATTCAGCCAGTTCTCAACTTTATAATCATCTGCACTTAAGACAGCCATAATCATAAATTTAAAAATTTATCTCTCTGATGTAGTTCAAATTTGATTGAATTTTTACATTTTGTAGATTAAGTGATGAAATGGAGTCAGAGATTAAGTTCAAAAATATGCTACTAATGAAAGCATATATTTTTGAACTTGATCTCTGACTCCACTTCATCACTTAAACTACAAAGTTTGATAAATCTGTGAAAAATCAACCAAATTTGAGCTACATCATGAAGCATTAACTCAGACAAGAAGCAAGAATATTTATAAAAAAATTTATTTTCAAATCTATAGAATTAGTTGCATTTGCTAATGGCACAGTTAAATGACCAATGTAATACTATAATGACCAATAAACACATAAACAAACCTACCAATTATTGTTATATAATGTTTAAATATAACTTGTGTTCATATCATTAGTTGCTCAAAAAGTGAAAATGAAACTAATTTTATGTGGAATTTCTCTGTTCAGGATTTTTATAGTAATAAATTACATTAAATTAATAAGAAACAAATAAAATGGCAAAGCCATTTTTGGTTCAAGACTATGTCTCAGAGAGCGCGAGCAACACATGCTCAATTCCGCACTCACTCCTGTTTGTAGAAACAGTCTCAGCATTTCGTATTTTCTTTTGACCCAGTTCTTGGCCCCCTGACTATCTACAAGTCTGGTTTATTTTATGTGCGCATGATTTGGGCACCAAATACTCTGTGCCAAATTGCAACTCCTGACATGTACTCCTTCATACCTCTAAGGTGTGCAGCCATCGACAGCAGTATGATTTTAGTGATGAGACATAGGCTTGTCAATTAACAATAAAAAGTAAAGTTAGTTCTGTACAAAGATTGTAATAATCTCTTGGTAACATTTTTGGAGCATTTTGAACTTGTTTGTCCCCTGTGTGTTTCTATAAATATTTGTTTTAATGAAATATTATAATTAATTAATTAAAATATTAAATATTAGTTTGAAATATAATACACTTGTTGTTGTTTTATATTACAATACATAAATGAGAGAGAAACATCTTATTTGTATCCAGCAAATGAGTTTAATAAATTAAAAATGTTTTCAACCTCTATATGTAGACCTTCTTCAGTTAATATAGTTCAAAATAGAATGATTAAAAAAATCAAACTAGTTAATGGAATCAAACACAAATGATATTCATTGTTTAAAAGAATAAAATACAAAATTTTAAAATTTAACATAAACTAATAAGGAAATAATTTTCCAATTCTGAAAAAAATAAATTGTTGTTCTTAGCTACCTATGCGAGTGTGATTTTATAAATGCAATCCTATAATTTGGTATCCTAAAAAATGACAATCCCAAAGAAAATTGTTTAATACCCCAGAAGACTACCATTCCACTGAAGGACCAATGTTTCAGCCAAAGACTTCTCAATGTATGGGACCACCACATGTAACTTTGAAAAAGTTCAAAGAATATCAATACACAGTTAACAAGAACATGAAGAATACAATCTTAACAGTATAAGCCAACCAACAAGGTGTACAGGTTGCTTGGGAGGGCTCCAAGATGAAATAATTAACACAACAGTGTAGCTGCATTACAAACAATTTATTAGCCTAATTAAGATGTACTTGCTAGTACTTTCAACAGCTTAGTCACCAGCATCAGGTGAGAAAGAATTTAATATAATTAGAATATATTATTATTGGCATATTTGTTCTCATATAAAAAGTATATTGACAGTTGAAACTTTCTCTTAAGCATGCAACACATGCTAAGCTAGCCCAGAGAAATCGTCCCTGTTTGTTGGATACAAATAAGTTATGTTCCATTATTTCTGTGATTCTCATCCAGTTTCTACATATTTATTTGTATTACAGTACTTATACACAGTAACTGATTAATTATAATATACATATATATGCAATATTATTTTAAGCTTATAAGTAGCTTTGGAAACTCTCTACCCATTATTAGTTATGACAAATTTGACTTGCAATAGGAGTCCAGGAACATATCTGATCATACATTTCATCATAAGTCAAGGACTACCTGTGTATTATTAAAACTTTTATCACTTTTATGTTAATGAAACTTTTCTCATTTATTGAAATATAATTTTAGAATTGTTTTAATTGATAATTGCCTGATGTCTTTATTGTCCAATTTTATAAGAAAATTTTATTTTTTCAATATTCTAGTGTTGTAGATGAAACTGAAATAAGAAATTATTTTAGAATTTGTAAATGCATGTTTAAAATAACAAAAATAAAGTTTTGTATAATAAATAAAATAGCTATAACATTAATAATCATTAAAGAGAAAATTCATCTTATAAAACAAAACAGTAATAATCATCAACATTTTCAAATTGAAATTCTGATATATTGTTGAATATATAACATTGACATAAGAGAAATCAATATTTCATTATTTCTAGGATAATTGAATCAAATATGTAAAAAAATCTAAAATTAAATGAAGAATAGAAATTTTAAATTCTGTACTTGTAAATATATTAAGTAATTATAAAATATTTAAATAAAAGTTGTTTTACAAATATAATATTGCTAAATCTTAAAGATATTAAATAATAATAAATTCAAGTATTTGAAAAATCTCTTGTGCTCCTCAATTGCAAATAAATACTCACTATGATTTAAAAATTGGCTTATTAATATTGAATTATTGATATGTTAACTGTAAAATATATATATATATATATAACTTTTGAAAATTACATATTACATGAAATATTAATTTATAGATCACTTTGTATATTATAATTATAAATTTAGGAATTTGTCATAGTATGCATTCATATTTTGAAAATTTACCTTGGTTAAGAATTTCTTCTAAATTTTTCTTAAAATTGACATTTATTTAAAAAATATATATATTTGCTTTTATATTTAAATCAAATTAATTTTGAGACATGAAAACTAAAAAATTTATTAAAAGAAAAACAACATTTAAAAATTTTTAAATATAACTTTTCAAAAGACTGACTGATTAGTTGCCATAACATAAGCAATAAACAATTGTACTAAGTAATAAAAACTTTGTTTCTTTATTTAATCTAACTTTAATTTTCATATAAAACTTCCAGATCCAGAAGGGATGCATAAAAATAATTCAATTCCTGGTTCTGTAACATGGTTTATTATAAATGATCTTCAACCTGCATCTAAATATCGTGCTCAGGTTTATGCGGAAAATAATATTGGAATAAGTCAGCCATCTGAACAAATTGTTTTTACTACTGGTAATGAAGGTAGGCATTGTTTCTAATCACAAATTAAGATTTATTGTTTAAAGATATGAATAAACAGGATTTGTTTTATTTGAATTATTGATGGTTTAGATTTAATCAACAAATTGTGAAAATGATATACATAATGTAAAAATTAATTTCAGAACCTTCTGCATCTCCTAAAGATTGTCATTTAGAAGAAGTTGGGGCCACTTATGCTCGAATTTCTTGGAGAGTAAGTTCTTTTTATACTCTTAAGTGTAAAATATATTTAGTACTTTATCACAGTTTATGCTTTTTTAGTCTATATTTAGTACTTATGTAAACCATGTTAAAAAATATTGATTACATTTTTATATCTATTTATATTTCTAGAAATGTCTTACTGTGTAGTATATTTTTTTATTTTATGTTATTTGATATTAATATTATTTAGAAATATATCACAAATTTTAAACTTTAAATATTGAAAAAAATGTTACAAGCTATATTCTTATATATTATAATTATTTATCATATATAATTATGAAAGTAATTTTTTTCTGGATCAGTGGCATGGCATCATTTTTGTAAGGGTGGAGATATAAAGAACCAAAAAGTAGGAACAGAAATTCTTTCATTCATACATCATGGGAATAGCTACCCTCAGGAAAACAGGAGTATTCCCAGAAAAAACATTGTATATTTACTGAATTTTTAAGAGAAAGAATACCAGATAAAATAAATGGATGAATGACTGCAGAATTATTTATTTGGAGATAGTATGCTAACATTTTAAGTCAAAATGTCATGATTTGACTTAAAATCATGACATTTTGACTTAAAATGTTGATTGAGGAATTTTTGGATGTACTGGTAGCTAGTTTGCTCATACGTGTATGATATAGGGTTCCTTTCTTAGACTAGCACATTTTTTTGGTAATGGTCTAAGGTAGTCTAAAGGGACTTGCTAATAGATGGGAGGGGTCTGTTCTACACCAGGCTTCATACAAGCTTTCTATGACCATGTTGACATGTAATATTATTAAGATTATAAGATCAGTAATCAGCACACACTACAATATTTTCAGGTAAAGCTATATCTTCCATTTTTGTCAATAGAACTATGCCACTGTTTTAGGTAAAAATTACAATATAAATATGAAAAATAAGTAAGAATTTTTAAGAATTACAACTATTTAAAATAATTTAATGTTGGTACATAAATGAAAATATAAATTATACTGGTTTTTGAAATGTTAAATATAAAGCAGCCACAAATGTATGTATTTATGAAAAATACAAATCATCAAATATCAATAGTGTTCTTTCTCATTTTTTAATCATAAAAATTACTTTATCTGTATGAAATTAACTTACATTTTTTTATGAAATTCAGTGAAACTAAATTTTTATCACAAAGAAAAATATCATTGAATAAAATAAACAAAAATTAACTGAATAGAATTTATCAGTAATTTGTGATAGTATAACAATTTCAAAATTACATATATTATTTGAAGTATAGAAAATTTGCTCTAAGAACATGTTTAAGTTACAGATTTTAAAATTCATATGAATTTTTAGAGTAAAATATCAATAAATATTGGTATTAGAGATGAGTGCGCAAGTCTATGTTCACAAAATGGAATTATGCCGTTGAACAAAATGTTTTTCTTAATAATGTCTTCAGTGTTAAAGATGACTAAAAGACAAACCTTTTGTTTTACACAAGACTTTATTCACAAGCACTTTCAATAACACATTATCATCATCAGATGAACACCTGATGATGATAATGTTCTTATTCCATTTCCATTCTGCTCATCTGAACAGAATGGAAATGGAATAAGAATTTCTTTTCCTTGTTTAATAAAAACTATATTCCAAAAGTAATAATTTAAATGATTGTTTTATGATTACATTAAATTAGAAAAAATTAAATTATAAAAAAATTTATTTAAAAAAAACAAAAATTAAAGTAAAGTAAAAAGTTAAATCAGGTTTTTATATATATTAAGTGATATGTGATGTTATTTCACTGTTATAAAAGTCTATCAAAAATAATTGATTTGTATATATGCTGCATGTTTTTCTAAAATAATTACTACTATGATAGTATACACTTATGGTGACAAAACATGTAGAATTTTTTTACTGAGAAACTGCTGGTACTTTGTATCAGTTATAAGTACTTTTTTATGCTATCTGTCAGTATATTCTATCAGCAGATAGCCTGCACATTTTAGCTGGAAGATAGTTCTTTATAGTTGAAATAGACATAGACTTTTTCTAATAAATGTCTAAATCATGTTTTTAATTTTTAATGATAAATGTTATCTTTACCTTAGTGATTTGATTTCTGTATCATCATATTAATTTTTCTAATTTCTTTCCTTAATTTATAATTCTTAAAAAATAGTAGTCAAACATTTAATTCATTAAAATATAATTATGCAAATTTTATAATCAAGTTTCTACATTCATCTGAATTTCTGTGAGTTTTGTGTTTGAATTTCTTAATAACAATGCTTTCTGATAATGCTATCTCTGCCAAATCTACAATATCTGCAGAATCATACATGAAATAATGTAACAGCAGATGCTTTATATTTGAAATTTGGTATTTGCAATTGTTTTTCATATTTACAAAGCTAAACTTCACTTATTCATTAAGGATTAATAAAAATAATGAAACCACAGAGAGGGACAATTATATAATTTTTTAATGCTTTTATCTTAAATATATTTTAATGCAGTTTATGTCATCTATCAGTGGATACTATCTTGTAGTTTCTCCAGTTGTTATAGCTTGTGCACTTGCATGTATAGTTAACAAATGTTAATTATACATGTCTTGTATTAGTATGTATGATGGTAATGCAAATTAATTTCATCACTGTACTTTGAGATTTTAGTTTTTTTAAATCTGTACAAATCAACAGTGTTATCCAAATAAGCTAGTGGCAAGATATCAAAATTACTAAGTGATCTCTCTCTCTCTCTCTCTCTCTCATAAAAAAAAATTAAAGTGAGAGAGCATTCAGGAAGAAGAATCAACAATTAGGATTATTTGTTCTTTCATCTGCTATAAGATATCTTAGAATAGATATATTCATCAGTCATAGAAGAATTTCTAAGACTGATCTTCGGTCTGGTCCCTTTGAGTTGTCTTATTACTGAATGAAACATCTGTATGATTATTTTATTTTAGCAAATACTAATCATGATCAAATATATTTAGTTATTTCAAAGGATGATTTCAAAATATTAATATATATAAATATATATATATATTTTTAATATTTTGTATAGAGTATACATATATATGTTACAGTCAAAACCGGTTTTTAGTTAGAACGTGTTTTAACTAGTCTGAATGTCTTTGTTAAAACCCGTTTTGTCTAGTTGAAACTAGTTTATACTGAATGTCTTTGTTAAAACCCATTTTGTCTAGTTAAAACTAGTTTTAACTCAAATTCATTTTTGACTAGCAGTAAATTCTAGTTTTAACTAGACAAAACCGGTTTTAACAAACACATCCAGTATAAACTAGTTTTAACTAGTTAAAACGCATCCTAACTAAAAACTGGTTTGACTGCAATGCATAGAGTGATTCGGGGTAAGATGGTAAGCGGGGGAAGATGCCTAATTTTTGATATTTTCAAACAGTGATGTCACATATTGTCATGTATTTGTATGATGAATCGTTGGGCCAATATTGAGTGCGGAAAGCTGTAGTTGGCTACCGTTACTTCATTTTCTACATCCGAGAAG